CTTCTCCTATTGCAGTATCATTGAAGCACGCACCATCGGGAATAATATCATTGTCGTCCCATTGTTCTTATTCACCTTCTTCCATTACAACGCCGGTTTCTCCGTGCTTCGTCCAACAAATATAGTTTGGCATGAAACCCGACTTAAACAAGTGTGAATGAAGAGTCCTTGAGCAAGGATATTCCACCATATTCTTACATATGGCACATGGGCAGCACATGAAACCGTCGCGTTTGTTTGTCTCGGTCGCACGTAACAAAGAATGCACACCGTCAATTAACTCTGGGGAGCAGCGATCAGCATTGTACATCCAATGTCGGCTCATCTGCATTACATGATATAAATACCATATTAAAACCTAGATCATAATTAATTATTTATACAACATGTGTGCCACCACAAAAGGTACAAATTTATGAAAGCATCGCTACAATGTAGACAATCCCAACTACCACTAAAAGAACTAAAGCTAAAATACATTTCAGGAGCACAAGGATTTCGCGACCAATCTCAACTAAAACAGGCAGATCCCCCGATTGTGCAATATCTTTGGGCTTCTTCGGCTGGATCACTGTCTCATTAGCCGCCGTATTGTGCAAGATATTTTTGCACGAGTTCAACATACTCTTCCTCCCAGTAGAAGCCTGAACATCGTCCACTGCCATCCCACTGAAATTAAAATAAAAATTTAGAACTTTAATCACAACCATCATGAAAATAGGTATAAACTAACCATAATAATAAAATACGATAAAATAACTCACATTGCGATCCGGACACTTGTAGAAGATACGACCCTTGTTGGGACCCTCCTTCTTCACTCGGTACTCCATCGCAATCTTCGTCTCATCACAACACTTGCCGCATGGAATGAGAGGGAGGCCCGGCCTAAGTCGCTTTGGAAATCCATGAGAGGCCGAGGACCCGGAAGTGGTTGCCATCTACTCTCTATACTCATTTTTTAATACACTATAAATTTCTCATTTTATAAACAAATAAAATTAAGAAACTATAAAATTATCTATATCTCTAAACAATGAAGTGTGCTATGCATTCTAGAAATAAAAAGTGAATACTAATTTTAAATACCTACTTTAACCTTTCTTCATCCAAATATGCAAACTATAAGTTATTTTGAGCTCAAATTGTTTCCAAATAAAAAAACACCATAAAAACAATATATATATATATATAGTGAACAATATGAGATAAGCCAATGATGAAAAATGAGAGTATGAGTTTGGTAACCTTTACAACTGAAGAATCGACGGAGGAATCGAAGAATGGATGGAGGAACAATGGAGGGAGGAAGCAAGAACACTAGTGCAGTGAGCTTCAAAATATGCTGAGCTCGGGCTCGGGGAGGAAGAAGGAGACGGCCGGGATATAAAGGGGGGACCTTTAGTCCCGGTTGGTGGCTCCAACCGGGACTAAAGGTAACTTTCCAACCCCCGGCGCAGCCACGGCCCGAGAGTAGACCTTTACTCCCGGTTGGAGCCACCAACCAGGAGTAAAAGTCTACCTTTAGTCCCGGTTGGTGGCTCCAATCGGGACTAAAGGTCCCTGCCACCTCTGTCTGGCGCAGTAGCCGTTGGGCAGGGACCTTTAGTCCCGGTTGGATGCACCAACCGGGACTAAAGGTCTCTCTAGTCCCGGGCGCAAAAAATGCTGGGACTAGAGCCCATTTTGACCGAGGATCAAAGGTCTGTTCTCTACTAGTGGACCTTGCACAAAGCTGCCAAAGGTTGTTTCTGTTGTTGTGATGCAGGGCTATAAAACATACATGGTTCCTCATCTCAATCAAACAGACCGCAGCATTGGCGTCCAAGATGCATCATGATGTGAAGGTAACATTAGCCTATAAAGTGCTTTACCCACCATTTCTTAACCTGTAAATTATTATATCTACTGACAGCCTATTTCGATTGATGTCCATGTGGACCTGATGTACAAACGAAAATTTTATTTTTATCGAGCCTCGTGTGAACATGTGTGTGTTTTTCATGTCGTGTTTTGCAAGTTCTGGCATGCAACCCATCAGGCTCCACTGCTGATTCCAAGTTATTGCCGTGTTACATTCGCCCTTTTTGCTTGGGCTTGTTTGGCTGATAAGCCATAGCTGAAAGTACTGTTGGTTGATTTGGTGTGAGAGAAAAATATTGTTCGTTGGCTGAAAAAGTACGGCTTATAAGCCAAATAAGCCCAAGTGAACAGGGTGATTGTTTGTGGCTTACACTATTTTCCTTAGGGATGAATATACAGAAATGCAACAAAACACCAGGTGCCACTGCTTAGTGCTGCTAGAAATTTAATAATGTTCATGTATGTGTATTCAGTATCTTGATGTTTGCAACAATAGATGCACATTATTTGTGTTGCTTGGTGATGATGGCATAATAAAATTCCTAGCTTCATAGAAGAAAAGAGATGTTAGTGTTCCTCTTCTCTAATACGTATATGTATGAGTTCAATTGGTGAGGGCAAAACTGTTTCATGTATATGCATCGTCAGGAGATGCTATGACTAACAACATATTAAATATTACAGTCCAGATGATATGACAAGACGAATATTATGATATTCATAGGAGTATATTTCTAACCTTAATGTTAGTCAATTTCAATACAGAGTGTTTCAGTACCCTTGGGAGAGGTAGAGAATGTTAAGAGGTTCTGTGAATTGTCAAAATATTTTCTTATGCATTTCTAGTAGGTTGCTTTGTTTTCTCCACTTATGTATGGGCACCATACTCAATTCAATAATGTATATCCTTCAATCTTTTCCTAGGCTGATTGCTTTCCAGCTGCCTTTTTCACATCATCTCCCTTCAATTAGTTGTTCCCTGACACACCTCTTGCTGTTTCAGGTCTCACCTAAGGATTGCATAGACTATATGCTCTTTTCAGATCACTCCTACTGCATAGTACGCCTGCAACGCGACTCCTTCCGTAGCAAGTAATAGTTTTTCCATCCATGATTGCTTCATAGTATCTTCCGCACCATTTAACAATACAAGACTGATTGTTAGTTCCTTTTAACTCTTTCAAGGACACAGACCGAGTTCCTAAACCTTTTGGTAAATACATATGTACTATAAGTATTTCCCTGCCATTGTCATTTGTCCTTGATAGTGCTAATAATATTATTGTTGCTTAATGAAAGTTTGGTCCACAAAAAACTTTTCTCGGTAAAATGATGTGTTTGTTAACCTCTTTTACTTTTACTATCAAGTTTGAAGCCTCCTTTTGGATCTGTACACAGGTATCAGTTGCTTCAAGCGGAAAGATAGTACATTTCTGGACTTTTTGTTCGCTACATATGCAAGATCGGCATCTCCCCACCATCAGCAGTTGTCCATCGAGGCACAAAAACTTCTTACTTTCGTAGTCCTGTTCTCCCTGTATAAAATATGCCATTATGTTCAATCGGTTTACACATATGGTACGAAACTAAAGGGTTAGCTGCTAGTAAAAAAGAAATGCGTAGAACATACTCCCTCCTTTTTAAATGTATGATACCGTCGACTTTTAACATGATGTCTAACCATTTGTACTATAAAAAACTATGTAACTATTACTTATTCTGTTGTTACTTGTTTTATCATTAAATATATTTTAAGCATATATGACATATTTTCGTATATTCATACTAAATTTTTTATAAGACGAATGGTTAATCATTTGTACAAAAGTCAACAATGTTGTACATTTAAAAATAGAGATAATATTACTATGATTTGACGTCGCAACACATTGTATATTATTCTATGGCACATGAGTATAGATGGCCAACCGGGCCGCACGACACGGCACTGGCACGAGCACGACCAGGCACGGCACGGCTAGGCACGGCACGCCGGGGCACGACGGCACTGCCGTGCCGTGCCGCATAGCGCCGCCGTGCCCACCTCTCGGCCCAGGCACGGCCCTATGGAGGCTCAGCCGTGCCGTGCCGTGCCGATGGGCACGCCGGTCCGTCGTGCCCGTGCTAGCACGAGGTCGTTCCAGCGACTCCGTCGTCATGGACGTCGCCGTCGCGGACGCCACCGTCGAGGACGAGCACCCAGCCGCCGTCGCGAACGCGCCCTAGCCACGATTCGCCGCCTCCCGTATTGCTTCCGTACCGCCGCCGCGCCGTGGAAACGCGCGATCGTGCCGCGCCGCCACGCCGTGGGGGGGCGCCGCGCGCGATGCGTGCCACGCCGCCACCGCCGTGGGGACGCGCCGCCGCGCACACCGTTGCTGCCTTTTTCGAGGGACGCGCCGCCGCGACACCATTGTTGCCGCCAGCGAGGGACGCGCCGCCGCCACGCGAATGACTCCCCAACCACGCGGTCGCGCCAATCGCCCTCGGCCGCTCGGACGTTCTCGCCGCCGCCCGCGCTGCCTGTCTGCGGCGTGAGAAAAAGAGAGAAAAGAAGATAGGAAGTTAGGGTTTGGTACTGAGGAAGTGATGTTTATATACTACTTGCTCTGAATCCAACGGCTCTGCTTATCTAGTGATCATCCAACGGCAGAGAATAACGGGCCACCATCGTGCCGGCCTGTTAGCCGTGCCGTGCCTGGGCCAGCCCACGGGCCGACATTGCGGCCCAGGCACGGCACTAAGGTCGGGCCGTGCCAGGCACGGGCACGGTGGGAGCCGGGCCGGGCCGTGCTTGGGCCGTGCTTTCTAGTGCCGTGCCCGTGTCGGCCCAGCGTGCTCGGCCCAGTTGGAAAACTATACACATGAGGCTGCTATGTGCTACTTTATCCAGAGAGAAGTCAGGGAATACCATTCCATTGCACCTGAGGCTGTGTACTTTTATTCGGAGGAAAGACAGAGAATACCATTCCATTGCAAAATGCAGTGACAAGGCCTAGTGGCGCGTGGTGCCCACATCAATTCTATCCAGATCAATAAGCGATGATTATTATTCCATTCCACCAAGAAATGGAGTCGGCTTATAAATTGGTGGTAGCCAGACGAAGTAGCTAGTCGTCGAGGTCCAACCGTCCAAGATGGCAGCCGCCGCCGGCAGCACAAACACGCCGAGCACCACCGCGCTGACCATGAAGTTGCTGGTGGAATCCAGCCCGCTGCGCCGGCGCGTGGTGTTCGCGGAGGCCGGCAAGGACACGGTGGATTTCCTGTTCTCCCTGCTGGCCATGCCGGCCGGCGCAGCCGTGAAGCTGCTGGGGAAGGAGTCCATGGCCGGCTGCATGAGCAACCTCTACGGCAGCGCCGAGAGGCTCGACGATGCCTACGTGCACCCCGGCCCGCCCGGCATCAAGGACGACGTCCTCTGCGCCACCCCGTTGTGCCCCGCGGCGGCGGGGCCCAGCAGCTGCCTCCTCTTCCGCGTGCCGCCGGAGCCCACGCCGGCCCCGGCCCCGGCCCCGAAGAGGTTCTATGTGTGCCACTACACCTACAACTACTCCGGCTGCGGCGGGTACGTAACGGAGGTGCAAGGCACGCGCTGCCCCAGCTGCGGGAACTCGATGACCAAGGACACCAACTTCGTCGGGTCGCCGCCGGAGAAGCCGCCGGTACCGCCAGCTGAGCCGGCGAGGAGAGGGTTCGTGAAGGGCGGCGCCGTGACGTACACGGTGACGGACGACCTGGTGATTTCGCCGATGTCGAACGTGTCCAGCATCGCGCTGCTCAACGCCTGCGCCGTCAGGGACCTCGGGGCGCTCCAGGAGAGGACCGTGCACATCGGCTACAAGGAGGTGACTGCAGTGTGCAGTAGCGTTCCGTGCATATGTACTGATCGATCAGTTTCACTCACTGTTGGATGCTAATGCATTTGCAGGGTTTGGAGATTCTGAGGGCCTCGCTGCAGTCCAAGGCGGTGCTCACCGATGTTTTCCTCGGCAAGAAGCCACCTTCGATGAGCAACAACGGTGGCAACAACCGTTCCTTGGGCAGCGGCAGAAGACATGAATCTCTCACCTGGCGTGCGTAAGCCAATTTAGCCTTAGCAGCTTCCATCAGGTTGCCTTGTGTAAGAAGGAACAAGGACACAGAAACAATTGAGAACTACTAAAAGAAAACACATAGCAATCTTGTTGGGAAGAACCTGGCGTAATCCATAGCAACACATAAGAGACATCAAAGCTAAACCCTCAGCATGCATGTACACAACAAATAAACATATTACTCTACAGAGTGAAGACGGGGACAATTAGATTTAGGGGATACTGGCTGGTAGGGTCTGTTTTTATTGCCAAAATAATGTTTCTGTTTGCAGGCTTTTGCTGCATCTCATGAATATATTGGACAATGGAACATCGTTCCCAAAAATTTTCATCCCAAACTATCATATCAAATCTTATGGCACATGCATGGAGTATTAAATATAGACGAAAAAAAACTAATTACACAGTTTGGTTGAAAATCGCGAGACGAATGTTTTAAAACTAATTAGTCCATGATTAGCCATAAGTGCTACAGTAACTAACATGCGCTAATGATGGATTAGTTAGGCTGAATAAATCCGTCTCACAGTTTCTAGGCGAGCTATGTAATTAGTTTTTTTTATTAGTATCCGAAAACCCCTTCCGACATCCCCGAAACATCTGATGTGACATCCAAAAATTTTCATTCCGTGAACTAAACACAGCCATATTGGACAATGGAACATCGTTCGGTAGTGTATGGTTGATGTCATAAATGTGCTATACCGCAAGTTAAGGCGCGCTGCAGTTTCTTAGGCTAACGTTGGTTTCTTCGCCACAATTATGGCTTGCCAAACTGTTTAACCTATATGGCCCACATGACATTCTTCTCACATCAGTGTCAAACAAATTGTTAGCCACACCTTGGGTAAAATTTAAAGTGTGGCAATACTCGGATATGAACCAAACATGCCCTCTATGCTTTAGATTAGTCAGTTTTTAGTTTTCTTATTTTTATTTTTTGTTTGGATTACATGGGTTCATGGTCAAAGATGGGTGGAATGAATAAAATAGACGTAGCTCAATGGACGGTTCACTACTGGAAACGCGTGCTTTGCCGAGGGCCTGAGGCTTTGCCGAGGGCCAAATCTCGGGCACTCGACAAAGACACTCTTTGCCGAGGGCCAGCCACAGGAGCCCTCGGCAAAGAACAGCCCTCGGCAAAGAGGCCTTTGCCGAGGGTACGGCCCTTAGCAAAGATAGGCCCACGGCAAATCAAATCTTTGCCGAGGGCCGCGGCCCTCGGCAAAGATGCCCTCGGCAAATTAGGCCCGTTGGGTCACGGCGGCCATTCCCCGTCAAGCTTTGCCGAGGGCCGCCCGTTAGGCCCTCGGCAAAGGTTTTTTTTTCTGTGAAACCAGGTTATTCGGCAAATTTTTTTTTAAGTCTTTGCCGAGGGCCTAGACCAGGCCCTCGGCAAAGATTTTTTTAAAACCAGTTTTTCGGCCAAAATTTTTTTTTATAAATCGCCTTTGCCGAGGGCCCGAGGCTAGGCCCTCGGCAAAGATTTTTTATTTTTTATTTTTAAAATTCTTTGCCGAGGAACATGGGCCAGGCCCTCGGCAAAGAGCCCTCGGAAAAAAAAATTTGGTTTTTTAGCCCAGTTTTTTTTGTGGTGCTACAATACATTGTTTTGAACTCAATTTTAAAATTTAGGCCAATTTTGATTTTGTTTTGTATATTTCCTTAATTTATTTCGATTCTTTGATCTTTTTCGAATATGTCAAATTTGAACTGCAGGTGCAAGGAATATTGCAATGTAGTGTTTCAAAAAATATTATTCATGTTAATTGGTGCATGTTGAGTCCCTATCCACGAACTATCATCAAATTTTCACTCATCTTGTTACGTAACATGACGACCGACTTCTTGGGAAGAGTGTTTTAAAATTATATAAAATCCATACGAAGTCCGAAAATCACGAAAACTTTGGCGAGATGTCATGTTATAGCATGTGTAAACATGCACCAAAATTGAGAGGCTTGACATTTTTCGGATGCACTAAACCATGCAATATGCCCATGCACCTATGACATATTTTCAAAAAAATCAAAGAATCAAAATTAAGGAAATATACAAAACAAAAATCAAAATTGGCTTAAATTTTGAAAAAGAATTGAGTTCAAAATATGGGAATGTAGCATAAAAAAAAAAAAAAATAGCTAAAAAAAAAAAAAAAAATTGCCGAGGGCTGGCCCGTGGCCTCGGCAAAAGAATTTTAAAAAAATAAAAATCTTTGCCGAGGGCCGTGGATCTAGGCCCTCGGCAAAGGACCGAACCCTAAATCGGGCCGCAGCCCAAATTCCCAATCGGAAATTGTGAAAAAAGACGCTCGACCATCTCCTCCCCCAGCGCTGGCTGCTGCCCCATTGTGGCGTCCACCACCGGCGCCACAAGACCTCAACAAGAACGCACAATTGCTGCCCTTGTGCTGGCCAGGCCACACCTGCCCCACCTGCACCACACCCCCCAGCCAGCCCATCCTCCACCACCGCCAGCCATTACCACCCCATGTCTGGCGCCCAAGGCCGAGCTGCAGCCCTAGTCGCCTTAGCCCCACCACTGCCACCAGCACACACCTGCCCCCAGCCCCCACCGCCTCAGCCTGCCATGAGCCACCAATGGCGCCCCACCAGCGTGCCCCGTCGCCCCACCACGCCCAGTGGCGGCCAAGGTCGTGCCCTGCCTCCGTTCCCCGTCTCCGTCGAGCAAGGGAGGTCGACCGCCCGGCTGGCCCTTCAGGCTCCCCTCGCCCGGCCTTCCGCCGACCCCAGCCCCAGGCCATCCCGTCACACCTTCTTTGGAGGAGGAGGAGGCGGTGGGTGAAGTTGGAGGAAGAAGAGAAGGAGAAGAGGAGAAGGAGGAAGGGGAAGAAAAGGAGAAGAAGAGGAGAAGGAGGAAGGGGAAGAGAAGGAGATGAAGGGGAAAAGGAGAGAAGAAAGGGAAGAGGGGGACAGGAGTACTCCAATGCCGCTCGACCTCACCGGAGAAGAAAGTGACCCTCGCACCGCGACGCCCGACTCCACCGCAACCCTAGGTAAAACTCTCGTTGTCGGCCTTCGTGCCGTATGTGGTTGTGTGGGCCTTCGTGCCGTAAGTTGATATGAGGGCCTTCGTGCCGTTGTGGTTGTCGGCCTTCGTGCCATTGTGAATGTCGGCCATCGTGTTGCTTTTTTGCAGGTTTTGGAAACCTCCCCGTGCAGGGGAGGTGCTGCCGAAATTTTGAACAAAAAGTAACCTATTGTCTTTTTATGCAGGAGAAGAGTACGTCGGAGGGGACTCGAAGGACCCCGATCGTCTTCGTCGACGTCGCGGTTCTGCCTGCACTGCGTCGCCTCGCCACTGCGTCGATTCGCCACTGCCCTGCTAGCCTTACTTCACCGACACCCTAGGTATAAATAACCTCTTTTTGCACATGTCTGTCGCAGCCCGCGCGTAACCCAGTTAGGCGTCTCCCGTCCGAAAGAGATGCGGTCGTAGGTATGCAGATCTTTGCGTATCTACGACCGTATCTGTTTCGGATTGTCCACGTTTTTTGGACAGCCCGTGGATGCGTAGATGGGTTAGTTTCCATGGTCCGCTCCGGTCCGAGAAGGAGTTTCGGCAACACCTCCCTGTTGTTCTTCAGATACACACTCTCCCTTGCAGGACGTGTATCGGGAGAACAGCGGGGAGGTGCTACCGAAATTCTGTCTCGGAGAGGAGCGGAGCATGGAAACTGACCTCATCTACGCATCCGCGGGTGGGATTAGGACCTATCCTCACCTATTAGACAGTAGGAACACAACGTAGATGCAATTGATGGTCACAATACTCTATGCTGTAAATGTTAAAGGATGGAGGACCGTCAGTGGATGTACACGGGCTGGAGAAGCGGGAGTGACTATGACTATGAATGGGTGAAGGGGACAGATGGTTTCTTGAAACATGCATTTGGCCCAGGAGCAGGAGGACATTCTCTAGTTTGGTGTCCCTACAGCAAATGTGACAACAGGAGAAAAGTAGACGAGAAGACCATGGGTAGACATCTTGTGTTGTTCAATGGTTATACGCCTGGCTACCAGCAGTGGATCTACCATGGTGAAGTAGATCGTATAAGAGCGGAGGTGGTGAGAGCACGCCTCGAGGCTTTTGATGATGATGCCGGGGTAGCAGACATGCTAGATGACGCCCACCAAGCTCACTTCGCTGAACGACGTGAGAAGGAGGAGATGGAGGAATCCATAAGGGACTTCTACAAAATGTTGGACTCGACACGAAAACCCCTTCACGAGCGTACAATGATTTCTCGACTAGATGCGATTGGACGCGAATGGGGTTGAAGGCCGAGTTAAACTGAGTCGAGAAGGCTTCGATAAGATGTTGGCCGTGTTTGGCACCATGCTACGGAAGAAGCACACTTTGCCGATTTAACTTGTATGCGAGGCGGAAGAAACTCTTCAGTATGCTTAAGATGCCGTATGACAAGATACATGTTTGTCCGAAGGGGTGCGTCCTATTTAGGAAAGAACACAAGGATGCAAATTCTCGTCTGAATCAGTAAATCCTCCGTACACAGAGGTAGACTCGTGATGGTCGGGAGAAGCGACTTCCGATCCCAGCGAGAGTGCTACGTCACCTTCCTTTCCTACCGAGGATCCAACGGCTATTCATGGTGAGGAATCCGCGAAAGCAGATGACATGGCACAAAGATGGCAAACGGTACAATCTGGGAAGATGGTACATCCGTCTCGATCTTTGAAGCATGGACGTATTTCAATGACAAACATCGTGACAAAGCAAATGAGGCTCGTAAATGTGCGTGTCGCTACCGGCAGCAGATGTATGGGTTCAATCCTTATGGAATGATGGCTGCCCCATACACATGCTGGCTGTGTTTTGTTATCCCTCAATCTCCCTCCGGCATCTCCTTTCAGCGGCATAACGTATTCTTGTCGTTGATAATTCCTGAACACCGGGGAGTAATATGGGTGTGTTCATGGAGCACGTGATTGATGAATTGATCCAC